TATATCTATCTTGCCTGGTGTATCATAGCTTGGATCTGCCAATTGTTCATTAACAATGTCCGGAATCTTTGACTGATCTAAACGTATTAATTGAGATGGCATATCATTGGCGATTGAAGGAAGTACATGAAGGTCTAGTGAAACGTTGAAATTTTCAAACCTGGAATACATTACAACTGGTTGCAATCTCTGTGCATCTGACCTCATTGAGTTGATACCAACTATTGGTAGAACACATTTTGTTTTAGACATTCCAAGAAATTGGGCACAGGCGTCAGTTATAAAATTCACTTGTGATCCTGAGTCCAGTAGTGCTCTACAGGGTTGAGGATAGCCAGCTGCATCATTAATGTATACCACGGCTGTGGCCAACATGACCATGTCACCTGACGCATGCATTGATTGTGCTATACCCTTACTAACACATAGAGCACTTGTGCTTGCAATGGGCTCCGTTTCACTACTAGTTTGTTGATTTTCATGAGCTTGAACCAAATGCAATTTTGAATTATGTTTTTGACCACATCTTGGACAACCTGGGAACCTGCAGTCTTGTGCTTGATGATTAGAGTATAGACAGTTGTAACATAACCGATTCTTTGAAACAAATTCTCGGCGATCTGGTACTTTCAAATCATTAAAACCTTTGCATTGATATAATCTATGAGTTTCATTGCAAAAGGGACATTTGTACAATGTGGTTACCTTGTTCGCAGGTTTAACAAAAAAAACCTTTTTTTCTTGAACTTTATTACTGGACTTGACCACATTCTGTTTAATACATGATGCACCAACGTTAACTTCACCTGCTTCATAGGCAGCAATACGGTTGAATAAAAATTCTTTTATTTCTTTGAACTCTGGTAGGTCTTTCTTGTTATATTTAACGTGCCATTCACCGACGGTTACTCTATCCATTCGGTTGCATATTAATGTGACTAACCAAGCGTCCCAGGCTTCGATCGGTTGACCTAAAGCCTGTAATGCATTTATATTTGAAGTAATGTGATGATAAAGTCTTTGCAACTCTATTGCTGAAGCTATTGAAATTTTAGGAGTATCAAATAATGCTCTAATATGTGATTGAATAATTGCTCCTTTGTTTTCATATCTTGCTGTTACTGCATCATAGGCCGGCCCATAGTTCTCATTTGTAGTTGGTATGGATTTGACAATGTCACTGGCCTGCCCTTCTAAACAAGCCTTAAGAAAATGCAATTTATGAACCGGTGCCATATCTTTGTTGTTGTGGAAGTAAACATTGAACGAGTCTATGAATGATGTCCATTCTTTCCAATCACCACTAAACTTAGGGAGTTCAATAGGTGGTAATTTCATCATATTGTTGTTTACATGACTGGATGTGATGCTGTAGGATGGACTGGTCACTTCTGATTTTTTGGATTCTTCAGCTTCCAATATATGTAATAATGATGCCTTGACTTCATAAAATCTCTCTCTAAATTTTGCTCGTTCATCCATTACTACGTCATCTGACCTTTGATCAAGTTCTTCTTTTACTGACTGCACTTCTTCAAATTTTTCTGAAATACTTGGAAGCTCCTCTAAGCGTACTCTAACTTGGCTTTGATTGTTTGTTTCACTATTGAAGTTCTTGGCAAATGTGCTCATCGCCTTTAAACTGGAATGAATAACCTTCAACTCTAAAGTCGCCTTTTTGATATCCATGATTGTGGCCTAAATTACAATATTGGGAATGATGCACAGTGTGCTTATTTAACAATAAAAAAAATATAAAAAAATGATTATACAAATTAATGAAATTTATATTTTATACTGATTACTAATTCACTTAGCCTATCCGGCTCGAAGGACCAAAATGGTCACGCTTAAGGTGAACAAAATGATATTGAACAGCCTTGTCGTTGTAAATAAAAATGTGGACTGTATTTTATAATAAATTTTTATTGCCGTTTGGCACAGTAATGATAATAATAATAATAATAGTAACAATATAAAGTATAATTTCATTTGCCTCTTTGGCTATAATAATGACAATAATAATAATAATAACATATGATTGAATCAGGCCTGAACGGCTGTAATATACAATGGAATACAATTAATAAATAATATGCATTAATGACTAACAGTACATAATAATGAGATGTTTACTACTTTAAGACCCGTCGGTCATACACACATATATCTGGTCGACCAATACTCACATAACAGTTGAGACACACACCTGGTTTTACACCCACGTTACCGCACCAGGGCCTGTAAGTATATCACTAAATTACAATAAAGACAAATTGACCCTGCGTACGTTCGGGTGTGTGCCAGCAACTGTTGACGATGACTTCAATAACAATAATACATTGAATGCAGCCGGAACAGGATTTCTAGTGTTCGCACTACTGTTCCCACGAGCAATGAGGTACACAAAAACACGTTGATTCACAACACAAATCTTTGGTAATTTTGACCATCCTGTAACTTAAACACAAATTAGTGGTGGCAATACAAATTGCTAAGAACGATAATTACCAGAAACTTAAACACAAATTTACAACAACGTGGTTTTGGACGACTGCAAACAGCTCATCATAAACATGACGAGACAACAACGAAAAACAATAATTGAACCGCTCGGCTCGGAGTACAAAAAGTGAAGTCAAAGGCCCCGCACGATGTCCTGGAGGCACAATAGAGCAACACAAAAACGAACGGACTTTCAGTGTCACCACACTAAAACAATAACCGATAACAAAACAATTGTGAACTTTATGACACTGAAAGCATGACTACTCGAAACACAACTTAAAGTTTTTAACATAACCAAATATAATGAAAACATTGATAATTGTTCCACAGCTGGCCGGTCGCACACGAATGCCTGATAAGCATCAGCCGACGAAGGCTGCAACTGTGGAACGCACTGATACGTGCACATGAAAATGATAACAGAAACACACAACATAAATTCGTTTGCAGCGCAAACAGTTATTTAAAATTTAGTTGATTATTTGAGCGGAGTTGTAGACCAACATTTTGGGGAGTACCCACACTGTCAACATCACTCCGCTAATCTAAACTTTAAAATTTAAATACCTACTGGCTACTCACCTATACCTCATAGAATACTCTCCCAAAATTGGATTTTTATATATAAGTTTACTTCAAAAAGTATTCTGCTTTGAAATAATAAATAAAAAATGTATATAGTATGTTAGTAGGTAATGTGTGTGTGTAGTAATGTTGTTACTAAAGTTTAAAAAAGTAACAAATAGTAAAAAAAAGTTTTTAACTACTTTAAATTATGTAACAAATATTTTCACAAATGTAATAATTAAAAGTTATTGAAATAGTGAATTTTTTACGTTAAATAGATCACCCAGCTGTATATTATTATAACATACTGATTATAGACTCTTGACCGCAATAGATAATAATTATTACATATAATATAAATTATATACATATATTATATTTATTTTATCAATTATGTTGGTGTATATATTTCACATACAATTTACAAACTATTGCAAAATGATAGACTTACACAGTTACACTTATTGTCACTTGTCAAATATAGATAACCATTATTGAACCAGCGGTCGTTTGGCTAAACATTTCGACCTGGGAAATTACCGAGTACCTAACACTGTGACAGACCCACCCAAAATATTATAATAATTAATAATACATTTCCATGTACAATATGTTTTTCAGGAATTCTCTTATTTATAATTTAATTTAATATAATATAAGTTTATACGTGAGTACGTAACTTTTGTAATTTTGTTCATGATCAATCGACGCTAGGACCGACACCAAAATCATCAACTATAGATTCCCTTTCCTACTAGAAAGGATTTTGAAATAGAAATCAAAGCGTGATTAAAAAAAAACACGTCATTATATCAATATAATCAATATTATATTTATCATACCTCCGCTTAGAATATAAAATATTAAAACAAATTGTATAAAATTATTTTCTAATATATTAGGTTCTAGGTACGTTTGTAGAAAGAATGACAAAAATGGGTGCTATGCCCCCGCACCCCCTAATAACCCTTTTTAAATTATATAAAAAATATTCATAAATAATCAATTAAAAAAACAATACAGAGGTAATTAGTAATTAATTTATGTTCATACCTATTATATATGTATATTATAGTTATAAATAAAAAAGAACCCAAACGGATAATAAAAGTATATTAATTAATAGTTTAGCAATAATTAGTTAATATTAACTAATTTATAGATCCGCGGTAATGAAATAATCTACAAGACAAATTATGATGGCATCTCGCACATTTTGATAAAACTATGCGGAATGAAGATGCGTCCCCTGCGTTCCCCTTAAAAAAAAATAATTGGGGTACGCCAAAATTTTTGAAAAATTAGTTGGGGTACTCCGTCCCCCTGCGTCCCCCCCAAGTCGAGCACTGCGGCTATTTACTAATAAAATATATAGGTACATGTCAATATTTGTGATGTGTTCATTAGAAAATGTCGTATGGAAGACTATTATAAAGAGTGCTGTATAAAAATATTAAGTTGTTATAGCACTCTAAACAAGTATAATATTATTATTATATTAATAGTAATAATATCAGAAGCATAAGTATCAAGTAGGTATAATAGTAAATTAGTAGGTACTCTAATATAAAATTAAAAATATATATTGTAATAATATATGCAGTGGCAGCAGGTTGTCCGAAAAGGCAACGACGAATCGCAATGGTTGACGTGCCGGCGGCCGATGTTTTCACACGAAGCCCGGACGCCGTCATCAATAATAACAACAACAACAACAACAACATTACAATAACAATAATAACAACACCGAACACCGGCCCCCGGCGAACGGGCGATGTACCGATGTAGACGAGCTCGCGCACGCGCTGCGGTCACGGTGGTGGTGCCCGCGTCGTCACGTCGGCCACGATGATGGGCCGGCGGGGTGGGACGCGATGATATTTTCTACTACGCACTTTACGCACTTGCGCACGCACACGCACACGATGCGAGACGCCGACGCGTCCGAATATTGGAACCTCCTTGTTTCCAGCGCTCGCCGGTACGGAGCGCGGCCGACCTTGACGGCTGCCACTGTTATTGTTTACATCGGGACGCACAGCTGTGTCCAATCGGAGAGCCCGGTTCGTCAACTGCGCAATTCCGTCTGGAAGCGGCGGTTTTGCTTTTGCGTATCGGCGGACCCCATCGTCCTATCGGCTTTTTTTCCCACCGCACACATCGTCACCGCCGTCGGTTCCAACCACACTGTCCGTCAGCCATCGTCGTCGAATCTTTTCAGTTTTCCTTTCGTTTAACCCTCAGCATTTTCCCGACAACAGTTTCACCAACGTTTTTTTATGTAGTAATATTTCGCCGAGTATTGGTTTTACGTTTCGCGATTCTCGTCTTCGTCTCGTCCACCGTAAAGACTTCACACGCCTAAACCATCCACTCCTCTACCCCCTGCTCCTCGTCCCCGCCGTGTACGTGCGCAGCGTGGTGTCACGCCGGTACCCCATACCGTGGACATTCTAACGGTGTCGAGAAAAACCGAACCGCCGACGCCATGGCCGAAGTCGACGACGCCGTCATCGACGTTGTAGCGTCCGAGGTGATCAACGGTTGTACCATCACCGGCGACAGCGACTATTCGGACAAGGCCGTGGACCCGACGTCCGTGGAGATGCGCGTCAAGCGCAAGGCCAAGCGGCTGGCCAAGTCCCTGTCCCGGGACAGCGGCATCGTCAACGGGCACGGCGGCACGGCCACCGTGGTGCAGCTCAAGCGGCGCTGGAAGAACAACCGAAAGTCCCGGAACGGTTTCACCAAGAGGGGCGAGATCAAAAAGGGTAAACGTCCTTTCAGTCCGGCTTGCCGGCACGAATCGTACATAGTATTAATGTGAATTAACACCATGTCGTTTACACGTCGCGTAGTCATGCACACGTCACGACCATGTGCTTCTTGGAGACGCCGCGTCGGAGACCTTGTGAATCGTTGTGTGATCCGTTCCCTAGGTTTGGATATCGTGTGTGTGGTGTGTGACCTGTCTCGTCTGCCGTCGGTGTCGGAAGTGTGATTTTGTCTCGTCTGCTGTCGGTGTCGGAAGTGTGATTTTAAACGACCGTTTGGTGGTACAGTTGCAACTTAAAACCGTTTTTAAATTTCGGGGGGATATGTTATACTATATATAGAGTATCTCAGGTATTACGTGTGCACTTGGCATAATTAACGTTCGAATGTATACATGCACAAACCCCGAATTTATTAATAGACTTGGGAAAAACAATTTATTCGACTTTAGGTGCCTTCCGAACGAATAGATTTCATATGATTATTATTACACACACGTTATGCCTTGTGAAAAGTTTATGTGAAACTTGTTCCCTTGAAAGTTTGAATTAAAAATACTTCGAAAAAAAAAAAAGCTCTTAACATTTCAAGTGTACCTAAGTCGTATGTCTATGCATTCGTTTTTTATTTTATTTTAATTATTTTAATTATTTACTAGTTTTAAGAGTCCTTAAATAAGAACTAATGACGTAAACTTTTATCAATAGATAATTGACAATAATATCAATAACAATAAATAATTGATGATTTTTCTGTACCAACAGGCGAAAAAAAATTTAATTATACCTATTTAAATTGTAATCCGGTTATTGAAGGTCAACAGTATCAAATAAATATATTTCAATTTGAATAAATTATAGTACAGTTATCTATTAATTAGGTACCTATCTCGATTTGAAAAAATTGATACACTTGTATTATATTAATAATAAATATCAAAGTGCATTTCAACAAAGTTATGACATACATTTTAGGTACTAGTTTTTATTTTTCATAATATTTTGATCAAAGCTATAAAGTAGGTAAATTAGTTGTTTATTCAATGATAACATTTTATTTAGACTTATTCTGTTCTATTTTAGGATCCAAGCTGATTAGACATTTGCAATGATGGAATATTGCTGGGTATATTTAATTTAATTAGTTTTTATGCATTAATAATTTTTATGAAAAAATTAAAAAATGTTTTTCTGTACCTAAATAATTTCTTTCATTGTAACTTGGATAAAAATTACCATATAGTAATACTATCTACTATAAGATATGCTACAAACACTGAATTAAATAATGTTAATAATATATAGTAAACAATTTTTAAATTTACAACCATCTTGTAGGTTTAAATAGAAATTAAGATATATTGTTTTAATACCTATATTTTTCTAAAATTTATGGCTATACTACTTGTTTTGGCATTGTTTCAACATACAATATATATATTATAGCCTCGATTATAGCTATATATTTTTTTTGTTTATTAGGTGGTGCTGGTGGCAAAGGTGTTTGGGGAAAGCTAGGTGAAGAGAGTGATATGGATGCCGCTATTGATATGAAGGATCCTAATTATGATAGTGATTTGTTGGACGATGACAATATTGTGCTCCGAGAAATCACCCCAGAATCGTCTGATGAAGAACTCAAGGTAATTGTTTAAAAAATACGCTGTGGCTAGAGACCCGGACACCGGGTATCTAATACGTACCCGGACACTGTTTTGCGCATGCGCGGGGACTTGTATATTTTCACCACGATGTTATCATTGTTATCAGGTGTTATCAAATCCTGTGTAAATTAATTACTTATCACTTATGTACGAATTACGATTCGATTTATTAGTACATAATGGAAATAATAGGAAGAAAAACAAGACTATTACAAGTGTCAAATAATTGAAGCGTAGGTATAGTATATTTACCTGTGTTAATCGACTTAATCTTGATCTTAACTATCATTCTAATAATTCATTTTTATAGAAATCACATTAAACATTTACATATTACATTACGATTTCAATAAATGTTCAAAAATAAATACTCTACCCGAATCTGCAAAAAAAACTGGGGTTGCCACTTGCCATTTAAAAAAAAGTAAGTCGTATTGCGCATGCGGCATGCGCGTACCGAGTGAGCTAAAAATTTGAAACTGCGATGGTCTGAAAATATGCATTTAAATGCTCCCTTTCACCTCCCGAAAACCCCATTTCAATATACAAAGTCATCCATCAGTGGTACCTAAAATCGTGATCACACTGTATGATTATATATTTGTATAATATTATGGAGATTCGGGTGATTTTTGTATTCTCTATAAAATATAGGTACATATAATACACTAATTTTTAATTTATTATACAAATAGCTTTTTGATGTGTAATGCTGTCACTGTTAAAATTGTCACTGTCAAAATTGTCACTGTTAAAACTGTCACTGTTAAATTCAAAAATATGAAGAAAACCCAGAAAACAAACAGCCTCTGACTATTTTTAAATAAATAATATACCCTTACATTTGTGGACTAAGAAGAGCAAGGTATATAATTACAGTATTTTATCAAGAGGTATGTAATAAATTGCAATTGTCAAAACAGTTCACTGAAACCGGTTTTTTAAAGCATTTGAATTATAATATTATATAGAATAATTCAAATTTACGCGGGATTGATAACACCTAACCTACCTGATAACAATGATAACATCGCGGTGAAAATATACAAGTCCCCGCGCATGCGCAAAACAGTGTCCGGGTACGTATTAGATACCCGGTGTCCGGGTCTCTAGCCACAGCGTAAAAAATACTTAACTATTAATCACAATGTTGTATAAATTATATTTAAAACTTAGTTTTACAGCTTTAAAGATTGTAATTGTTTTAGTTAATCTATTGTGGGTATTATTAAAAAGAGTTGATAATTTTGATAATTATTGTTATTTTCGAAGCTACACGTAAAGCCAGTAGTTATGTGTACTTGGATATTAATCTTATTAAGGCTGGTCAATATGTAAACTTGTTCAAAAATCAGTTATTTTAATTTGACCAATATAATATTATAGTATGATTTATAATAATCATGTTGAACATTTTTTTAAAATAAGATTTCCTATTTTAATTTAAAAAAGTAACTGACATAAATACACATTTTTTTTTTTTTTTTGAATTTAATGAACCATTTATTTAATAATATAAATACAAGTATAAGTATACTGAAAAACAATTTGGTTATCTACCTTCTTTAAGCAAAGTTTGATTTGAAGGTAGCGAGTTATTTTTTTAGAGGTTACACAGTATACCTTTACAAATTACAATTCTAACAAAATTAACAAAAAGACAGAATAGCAATAATGACGGATACAAAAATATAAATTAGGTACCAAATTTTACAATTTAGTTAAAAAAACATTTGATAAAGATTTATTTATATTAATATTATTATTTAATCTAAGATACTCTCTAGAGATCTCTTTACATTATTATCTAGGTTTTTGAAATAAGTAGGCCCTGAATAGTTCACAAATTTCTGACCAATTCCTTTTTTTAGAATAATTGAATTTTAGATTGTAACTTATATATTCATGTTTACTTTTATTCGGATCAAATTAATTAATATCAATAATCCATTCAACCATTTTCAGTTGTGTGCACAATGTCTTATGTCTCAATTTTTTTTTTTAGAATTCCATTACCTTTAATATTCTTGAGTATTATGAACATGGCGATACTGATGAAGCGGCCATGACACTAAGCGAGCTAAACATAGTTAGCAAATGGCATTTGGTTAGTGTTATATTTTTTTTTAATAATAATGAAGAAACATTTTTTTAAATCTCATATTTTTCTAGATTACTCAAGTTGCTGTTGAAGTAGCTCTCGAGCACAAACCATCTCAGAGAGAGATGACATCTGTATTGTTATCAGATTTATATGGGCGCTTAATTAAGCAAAAGGAAATAGCCCAAGGATTTGATGTTATTTTGGCTAATCTTCCTGATCTCATTCTTGATACTCCCGACGCTCCTATCGTTGTTGGTTGTTTCTTAGCCAGAACCATTGCAGATGACTGTCTCCCACCAAAAATTATAGACTTCTTCAAAGAGAAAAACTACAGCGATTTAGCAAAGTAAGTAAACATAATATAACCAATTATTTGACCATAAATTAACTAATATACTTTTTTATGTCATTTTCAGTCAAGCATTAATCAAGGCCCACAACTTGTTGAATATAAAACATGGACTGACTAGACTTGATAATGTTTGGGGTGTTGGTGGTAGCCTGAGGCCAGTGCAGTATCTTGTAAGACAAATGAACATGCTTTTGGATGAATATTTATGTTCCGGTGATTTACAAGAGGCTATCAGATGTATTTTAGAATTGGAAGTACCACATTTCCATCATGAACTTGTTTACGAGGTTTGTATTATTTGATTGAATACCAATATTTTAAATTCACTATTTTAATGCATTATAATTAATTTTGTGATCATAATTTTATTTCCAGGCTGTTGTTGATGTTATTGAAGCTATGAATACTCATACCGAAATTTCTATGTGCAAATTACTTAAAGCATTGTATGATGCTATTATTATAACTCCTGAAATGATGAACAAAGTATGGCAAAACAAATTAAAATGTTAAATTAAAACTTATTTAAATTATATTTTTTTTAGGGTTTTGATAGAGTGTTTGATGTTCTTGATGATATTTCTATTGATGTTCCACTAGCATCTGCTGTCCTTGAACGTTTTTTGGATAAGTGCATCAATGCTGGATTTTTAGAAAGGGATGTGTTGCTTAAAATACCAACAAGGTACTATATTAATATTAATTATAGGTATTTGAATATTATGTTATATTCATAATTATTATTATATTGTTTTTAGAGCATCTCGTAAGCGATACGTATCTGAAGGTGATGGTGGTCGCCTCAAAGAAGCATAAAAACTATGATAAAAGAACTATTAACAAAACCTATACTCCTCTTCTCCTCTACCTCTAGAGTACAGTATTTTTTTTTCTCAACTTGATTTGATTTTTTTTTTTTTTTTTTGTCTTTGTCATTATTTAATAAGAAGTTAATTATAAAATATTATTATTTCATTACAATTAAAATTGACTTTAAAACTTACCACTAATTCTTATATTCCAATACTATTTTTAGTAATTGTAAGAAATTATGTGTTAGATATGTTAACAATTTTATCACTTAGCTGTATTATTATTATTATTATGCCAGCTAAGTTGTTGCTTATCAATAAAAGTAAATAAAATATTATTAATAATCTAAATTAATATGTCATGAGTTTAGGATTGAATACCAGCAATATTAGTTTTCACAATAATGAGATTAAATATTTGTTATAATATTATATTCATGTTTGACATATTAGTAAATACTGTACTCATTAGTATCATTTGGTCGAATGAATTAGGGAGTTCTTATACATTTTAGGATAACGTTTAAAAAAACCACTGCTTGATTATTACATATTTTATTTTTTTTTTATTGTATAATTCATTGGCTTATTTTGAGATAGTTTATACAAATTATTTTTTTTCACTACTTTTTCATGTAAATGTATTTGACATTCTAAATTCACTATTTATGTATTGTGTTAAAATGAGTGTATTTTCCAAATTAGAAGAACCATTTTCTAAAATATTTGTAATGAAATATTGTATTCTGTTTAGTACAAAATTATATAATATAGATATTATGTATCATTCTTAAGCAATATTTTTGATTATTATACAAATAATGCATTATTCCTAGCAAACCTTTGTGTATCGATAAAATACTGTATTTAGCTTCAGAATAATAATAACTATGCTCTATTCAAGTTAAGAACTATACTCAACGGTGATAGTGTTTGTCATCTTCACTTAGTCAACCACATGTATGCCTGCCTTGTAAGGATACCACAACTCAACCCACAAGTCAGCTACTGGTGCAGTTCTTAACTTGAATGGTGTAGACATTTTATAGATGCTCCCTAAAGGCTAAATATTGTGTGTTCAAATTTACAAAATTAGTACATTTATAAAAAGTTTTGTATATTTATGTTATATTGATAATATGATTTACTTTTTATATTTTACTACATAAACAAACAAAAAAAAATGTTATTTATATTATCAGTTTTATTGATTAAATATAGGTTAGTGGTTTTACTTAAAACATTTTTTTATAAATGATGCAAACATTTTTTAAAGCGTGTGTAACATTAAAACATTTTCTACAATTATTTTTTGAAATGAAAAAGTATTATCATTTTTGTAAACTATATTGATCCTCTTGCTCAGTATAGCTGATTATTTTAATACTTGTTTTTATTATTTTAGAATAAAGAACAACTTTTAACTACAATAAATTTCATATTTACTTACCCAAGTCAAAAGTGAAAAAGTCTTTATTTCTTATAATCATAAGTTTAAAATATAAAATGGTAATTTATGTTTAATAGATTCTTTTAAAGCATTATATATTACAAATTATACACCTACACTCTTGGTCACTAATCAGCCAAGATATTATATTAAAATATAAATCTGAGTACAATCTACAACGACTACATAAACTATTTACTAATAAATCAATGGTAATATATTATAACCTCATACTAAATAGACAATTTATACTATTTTTATTTCTAATATTTTATTATTATGTAGATATGAGTATCTAAGAATATGGTAGAGGTGATATTTCTTCATATAAGACCACATAATACATAAATAATATTAAATTATTGTTAATTTATCACACATTTAAAAGAAATAAGAATATTATAGTTAATTACTTAACCTATCTATGTATCAAAAGTGCAAAAGTTGTCACTTAAAACGTGAACACATTTTAAACACCTATTTGAATATGTGATTGAATAAAATTTTAAATTATTTAAATAGTCAAATTGTGACAAGTAAATAATATATTCCATTTTCTGTATCATATGCTGAATTGTAAACGCAATTCAGGACAAATTCCTTGAATTAAAAATCACAGGTACTCAACAAAAACACAATTCCACAAAAAAATTTCAGCCTTCAATCGGTCTGTACCTATATAAATGTATAAGACAAGGATAGTTACCAATTGTGTGTAAACAGTTGATATACAAATAGTTTCAAACCAATTTATATAGGCTATTGGTAAAAGGCAATGCATGTGGTACTAAGGTTGTATATATTTTATATATAAAAATATATTTTTTATAATTTTTTAGACTCAAAAACTACTTGACCACAGAATATAACAATGACTTGACCGATGTTGACGAAAGCGTCAAAAAAGATTGTTCTAAGATGACTCAACTTTACTTGGACATAAGAAAGCAGTTTGACCTACGTTAAAAATGTGGCTGAGAACAAACTTAGAAAAAACTAAGTATATTTTTGTTGTTGTTGTTTTCTTTGTATAAAATATAAACTGCTACACTCACACTCACGCCTAGTTAAAAACGGTAACAACTAACTACTCAAAACACACTTACAGAAAATAATATTATGTCTAATAACTTATTTTAATGTAACTAAATAATATCCATATTATGTACTTGCAGCGCCATCTCTTGGAAAGTAATAAAAATATAAAGTATTGTAAAATCTGTTTTGTCAGTTCATACAGCTTCGTTCAAACAATCTGTATAATATAATTTTAACTATAAAAAAAGCGGATAAGTGGATGTCGCTCTGCTGTACAGTAGGTTACAAGTGGGTCACTAGAATGGATGGTATTAAATTTGAATTCAATGACATAATATCATTGTATACGAAAAACGGTTCTCATCGAAGACAGTCGTCAGCCTATATATTATAATATAACCAAGTTGATGTATATATTATTTTATGATGTTATTGTGATTAAAGTAATTCATTTTAGTATTAGGCTTTAGTAACTACCACAGTAGGTTAAATTCATTTTTATAAATCTATCTACGGTCATTTGTCTTCGACTTACACCAAAAACCAAAATTGATTTTGTCGAAAACGCAAATGCATCTAACCTAACTAGATTCACTTCCCCGTCGAACAAGATACTGAAGTTGAAAATCGAAGCATCATTTCGAATACTCGCTCAGAATCTTAAAATAATACTGTTCCAAACTGGAGTTATTACAGCTCTGATCTAGATGTTAAAATCAACAAGTGCAGTATTTTATAATTCTTTTATATTTAAACCGGACGACGTCAAGTAATACAGGTAATTTAATATAGGTATAACTTCTAAAGTTCTAACCATATGTAGGTACCTACCTATATAAAATGATAGTTTCTAGCTCACCTGAAAGTTACAAAGTATGATTGCCTCATACAATAATGCAATATATGATTATGGTTGTGTGTTGATATAGCTTACAAAACACCAAAATATTGTATTTACTATTTAGTAATTATATATTAAAACTTAAACACACTGCACCCTGTGAACAGTAAGAGTATTCAGCTGACTTCTCTGTAGGTTAGGTAAATTTGATGTTATAAATTATAAATAACTATAGTAAACGGCACAATATTTATTAAGGCAGGATGTAGGTAACTATACCAAAAGATAAATATTTAATAGTCTTGAAAAAATTGTCTACACGACTAGGTACCTATATAGTAGGTACGTCGTCTATAATTCAATCGTTTTACACTTTTGCAGTATTTGCTGTTAATTGCTGTTTACTGTTCTGAATAAAAATAGTTTGTTATTTTAGATAATATTTCACTATAATATCCTACCAACTGGCTTCTATACTACAGATTAAAATTTACAATATCTAATAACTATATATAATAAATCTACATTTTAATACAGGTTTTGAATCATACAATACTTTATAGACAATAGCACTCGTCGGTAGTTATAAAAATATAATAATAATAAGTAATAACAATAGCAGGTACAAAATAAAAATATATAACATACATACGGTTAAATTTAGTCGGTTTAATTTATAAAACAAATCCGTATTATTATTTATTGCCTATGATCATTGTAACATGTAATAGCTTTTTTAGTGGCAGCTAACTGTTAAAATCATACGTTAGATTCCAAAAAAAAAGCTTTAACATTGTTACATAAGGCGTATAAATAAAACATAGTAAAATACCGATCCACCATTGAAAAAAGGTTGAAAATTATAATAATAACAAAAAAATAACCATCGCGATGTGTTTATTACAAAATACTAATGGTCCAAATGCACACGATGAATATTATTACTTTTCCAAATCGTAAAGGAAATGATTCCCATCCTGTTAGATAAATAAAAACCGATTAACGAGTTATCTTTCGGAAAAAACAAACGAAATCTGTTATGACTCAGTTATCCTGTATTATTTTTTTTTTTCTAAAAAGCGGTATAGAATATTATAATATTATAGGACAGTAAATATTGTGTATAATCTAAAATGTATAATTTTTTATTCAGCTACGATGAGTGGAATTTATAAAATATGTCATGTGTATTATATTCGTTCGATAGTGAAATAAAATGTCGAAAATAGAAGATACTGATAATAATATATTATAATATTATAATATAATATGTGGGAACGTGGTGTTTTATTTAATAAAAATCACACATTATTTTGAAAAAAAATTTACTTTTAAGTTTTCAATGTTGCAATATTAATAATTAGAACACATTTTTAATTTCATATTCCGAAGCAAAAGTATTTTTTCGAGAATTTTGATGCATAAAATTCAATTAAAATTAAATACAGTTAATTTAGTTACAAAATCAGTTTATAACTTTTTTTTTTTAACATTTATTTGGATATATACAAACTGTAATAAAAATGTACAATGAGCATATGAGCTGGAAAATAAAATACAATTGACTTTGGCGGCGTGAGGGGAGTAGTTACCCAGCAGTAACACACGACATGAAATGAAGTTTATAACTTAATATAGGTATCTATATTAAGGTTATTAGATCAGAGAAGTAGAT